AGCTCATGGCGACTTATTCGGCTCTTGTCAATCCACAGAAATGTGGTATGTGTAACCAGCGCTTCTGCGAAATCCATTCGACTGTGAAGGAATCTTAACTGTCAATGAATGATATCTGACTCAATGAGTTTCATGGGACTGTGAGTGATTGCTATGTGACTGTGAAATCATATGACAGTGAATTAAAATCATTTCGCTGTGAATCATTGCACGTGACTGATAATGAATACCATCTGAATGTAAATCAATGGCATCCGACTGTGAATGAGTGACACCTGACTGGGAATGTTACCTGACAGTGGGTGAATGACACTGCCTGTGACTGAATGACACCTGCTTATAAATGAGTGACACCTGCTTGAGAATGAATGACACCTGTCTGCGACTCAATGACACCTGCTTGTGACTGAATGACATCTGCCTGTGAATGAATGATACCTGCCTGTGACTGAATGACTCCTGCTTGTAAATAAATTTCATGCGACCGTTTTTATCACAAACAAACGAACCTTATTTTGAATTGGTCACACATTTGGCACGCAAGCCCATCTTACCTTCAGCGCTTGCAAAAACTCATTTATCAAACTGCAGTTGTATTTTTTTTTATCTCTGAACCGTGTTGTGTCTATATATAAACATACATACTATGGGTATCGAGTAAAATATGCCTAACCATTAATAGGTAAATGTACATATTCAAATATAAATTCATATCAAACACGCACACATGCATACACTCTTATCAAACACGCACACATGCATACATTTAAATCAAAACACGCACACATTGATATCAAACACGCACACATGCATACATGCACACACGCATTTACGCACGCAAGCACACACACACATAAACACACACACACACACGCACGCACGCGCGCACACATACACACATAAACACACAGACACACAGACACACAGACAGACACACACACACACAGACACACACACAGACACACACACAGACACACACACAGACACACACACACACACACACAGACAGACACACACACACACACAGACAGACAGACAGACAGACAGACAGACAGACAGACAGACAGACAGACAGACAGACAGACAGACAGACAGACAGACAGACAGACAGACAGACAGACAGACAGACAGACAGACAGACAGACAGACAGACACCACAGACAACAAGACAGACAGGCAGATAGGCATACACACAGGCATACACACATGCATACACACAGATATACACATAGACATACACACAGACACACACACAAACACACCCACACACACAGACACACACATACAGACACACACACACACACGCACAGACACACCCATTTACAAACACTTTAATAAATATATGTAAATGTATAATATGATGATGACGAATTTGTAAATAACATTATTTTATAAATCGCTTATTATTAATTTGTTAATTTGTCATTTATATATGGTTTCGACAGTGGTACCGACAACTGACCGTTCAGAGAGTAGTGGCAAACTATTGAATGTAAAATTAGCCTAGAAAAACCACAACAGGCAAACAATGCTGAGGTTGGTTCTGCAACGTCCTATGAAGGCTGGGCAACGAACATATACCGTCGATGTCAAAGTGCATCTGCCTGAGAGGCAAGGAATCAACAGTCTGCTTATAAATAAACCAAATCTGTCAAACGGATGCGCACACAAAACTCAGCTTCTGGAACATGACTAAAATCCAGAAGTGGACAACCGGAACTTTATCCCGAAGTTTAAAGACGATGGAAGTGAAGAAGAACAGGCTTCGCCAAGAGTAGTGATTGCTATACATCCCTGGAGCACACAAATATATAGCTGCGTTAGCGCAGTCGATAGGATACTCGCTTTCAAATCCAGCTGCCACTCGCTGCAGCACACGGCCGGTGTTCGAAACCGTACTGTTCCCAGGGTTGACCCAGCCTCTAGGTAATGGGTACCAGAGTAATCACTCTGGTGTAAATGGAGGAACGTCGCTGTGGCTACGGAGTTACGTGCGGACGGCGACACAGGGGAACAGTTTCTTATCAGCTGTCCGTACTGGTGGCAGAGCACTTGTAGTTTATTACCGTGTGCAATGACGCTGGTTCACATAGTCTGGTCAGAAATGGAAAAAAAATGGGTACCGTTTTGTTTTTGATGAATAACCAACTAAATATTAAAATATCTTCTTGAAATTTGGTGAGATTATGCTTGATACATGACAGTTCACTAATGTGCCATTGGTTTTTTTTTGCAAACGTGTTTAAACGTGCCAAATTATTATTAACTAATTTATTAATTATTTCAACTAATCTGACACTTTCATGACAACTTGCACACACTAATTGTGATGAAATATTCTCACACAAAATGTACATATCAATAATTCTGTTGCCACTGGGAACAAGTTCAGATAAATGACCATTTTCACCCTCATTGTCACTATTAAAGTCATCAGAACACTCTTGTTTATCCTCTAGATCTTCATTCATAATGCTGTCCATAAACAGTTTATTTTCTGATGTAGTGGGCGTGGCACTAAGAGATACTGAAATCAGATTATTTCTTTGTCTTTCAAAAAACTCGGCAAGCGTCAGCTGGTGAAACACGAGGCTGCAATTCAATGTCTACCACCAGTTTAGGTTGCTTTGAAGCAGAAGTAAACTGATTTCCTCTAAATTTCCTTTTCTTTGCAACTTTACTCCTCTGCTTTGGAAATGATGGCATAATTCTAAACTAAGTATTGACACAAATAACTCGATAATAACTCACAAATCATAAAATTTCCAGCTTCTGTCAACGGAAATGCTTTGACGCAACTAAGGGGAGAAATCCTTATAATAAGACCCAAGAAAAGGGGAGTGATTCATTGTTTTGGATTGAAAAGAACCATATAAAGAAAAAAAACTTTTTTATAGAAATTTTTGTCAAAATTGTCTCCTTGAGCTACCCACACACACCTATTTGTAATCAAATTATCTCAGGTTCTATTGATCGGATTTTAAAGTTGTAAACTGCTAATGAAAATAGACATATTTATCTACATGGTTAGTGGCATAAAATATGTTAAAGCAAAAATATGATATTTTTCAAATTTCCTATCAGACTACATGAAATTTGAAAAATATCATATTTTTGCTTTAACATATTTTATGCCACTATAAGGGGGTAGTCTGATAGGAAATTTGAAAAATATCATATTTTTGCTTTAACATATTTTATGCCACTAACCATGTAGATAAATATGTCTATTTTCATTAGCAGTGCTGCGTAGTCTCGAAGCATGGCGTCCGCCACTAACGCTAGAGGTTTCGGGATCAATCCCCAGTAGGGGCTGTGATTTTTTCACGTGGACTTGGACTTCATAATATGGTCTGCAACCAGAAAAATCAAATAAAATGGTCTGCATACTTTAAATAAATATCTGTCAATGCAATACAGTTAAAGGTCTATAACAAAGGAAGAGAGGGACTCGGGGCTTGAGACCAGGAACTAGGTGAAATGTAGCATCAGATAAACTTGACACACAAGTACAGTATGTTTGAGGTTCGGGGAATCTGCGTGGTCTTGAAGCATGGTGTCTGCCTCGAGTGCTAGAGGTTCCAGGTTCAATCCCCGGTAAGGGCTGGGATTTTTTCACCTGGACTTGGACTTCTAGTAATTCCCCCCTGGTCTCTGAGTAGTGAGATCGGACGCCCGTGTGCATTGCTGCGCAACATTCTGCTTTGACTGTTAAAAAATATTAGTCCTGTAGGCGACATCCATTCACTGAATATTGCATCGCGATTGATTGCAGAGCACATTTCTTGATGACGTCACATGTTTTTCCCACTTGTATTCTACATACAAATATAGTGAGATATCACATACACCCTGCAAATAAAGTAAAGCACCCTCCTCCACGCCTTTCAGGCGTATTGGGTGTATAGGGTTAGACCTATATTGAATAGACAAAAAGGTACTTGGTGGGTGATATACCGGCCGCCTTTACTTCCTAGTACTGCACCTTATACCTATTCAGCCAAGGTCGTTTTTGAAAGAAAAAAATTCCGGCCCCCGCAAGGAACCGAACCCACGACCTTTCAAACCGCAGGCGAGTGTCTAGCCGCTAGACCAGAGCGGCTTACACCATCGCCCTGCACTATTTATTATCTAGACAGACTTAAAGGTTTTCCCTACTGCCTCCTACCTGAAGATGATATAACTTCAAGAAATCCAATAAAGATGTGAGTAATAGTAAGTTAGTTAGTTGGGTTATCCTCATTGCACTCCGAAAATGTCCATAGGTGCTCAGATCCTTCCCTCAGTATGAACCCCAACGTCCGATGGCTAATAGTACCAGTTCTATGTTGATTAACAAGTCTTCTGGCGTGTCTGGTGTGCGTCTCGTTTTTTGCTGTGCCGATCTTAATTCCCAAGTCTGCCATTCTGGCGAGTGATGTGGATTCACTGCTACCAAAGTCCTCTATCCTTCCCATTTCTCTGAGGGCATTGATAATATCAGCATGATCCATAGGCTGACCGTCGGTGGTGATAGCGGATCCAGCCAACCTGTCAGCTCTTTTATTTCCATATCCAATAAAGATGCAGTAAAGCATGCGAATATGAACAACAACAAAACACGATGATCATCATCGTCATGTAGCAGGTCCTTTGCAGACCGTCAATCTATATTCTACAGATTGCCTTGCTGTTAGCCTAAACACGGTCTGCCTGAAAGAAACTCTGTCTCTCGCGAGTTCTCCCGTCTCATGTACTTTCATACTAAAGGAGTCACTTATATCATGTGCCCATCTTTATGTTGGTCGGTCCCTTCCCCTCCTTCCTGGTACCATGCCTTCTATTTTTTTTCCCATCCGTCGGGGCGCTTGATATGACCAAAATATTTCACCTTCCGAGACAGGATGCTGTTTATTAGCCAATCTTTCTTGATGTTCAGATGTTTCAAGATGTCAGCATTTCTCCTCTTCTTTGTCCAAGATATTCTGAGAATCTTTCTTTGGCATTTCAGCGCAAAAATC